AAAAAAAAAAAATCACTTTGGGATACTATGAGGCAGTATTTGCTAAAACTGAAAATATATGTACCCTGTGATCCAGAAATTCCACTCTTAGGTATTTACCCAATACATACATATATGCAGTGAATGCCATATATAAGATTGTTCATAGCAGCACTATTCATAATAGCCCAGATTAGAAGTTGCCCAAATGCCCAACCAGACTAGAATGGAAAACACTATACACAATGACAATGAATGAACTTTGCTGCATGTAGCAGCATTGATGAGCCTCATGGACATAATGATGAGCAAAATAAGTCAGACATATGCTATGAGGTTCCACTTAGGAAAAGCCTAGGAGCAGCAGGCAAAACTAATTTTTGGTATTAGAAATCAGGTGATTACCCTTTTGGATGAGAGTTCCTGGAGAGGGACTTCTGGGTATTAATGTTGTGTTTCTTGATCTGGGTGGTGGTGATTCAGTGTGTTCACCTCGAGAAAATTCTTCAAGCAGTATATTTAATATTTGTGCAGTTTTCTATATGTGTACTGGGCTTCCATTAAGAGTTAAAAAAAATCAACCTTTCTGAAGTAGCTACCATTGGTCATGATGCTGGTTTCTGGATCTTTACGAACCGAATTTAATATCTGGCGGCTACTACTGTGTGTCTTGCCATTTATTCTCTAGATGAACATGTTTCATTGGTCCATGTGCTGCGACTTCGGCCCCTTCACCATCACCTTGCCCTCTAGTGGTCATTGGTCATTTTTCCAGATTTGTGTTAAAACAGGATGCTCAGAGCTAGATAAAAACAGCCCAGAAGAGGTCTGCAGAGCCCAATAGAGTGGGACCACCACCTCCTTTAATCGGTGCATTATACTTCATTTAATGCAGTCCATGTTTGAGTGCCCACCATCCAATCACAATTGAAAAAATATAGGCACAATTGTCTTGTCCTTGGCAGCCCTACCTGCTTGTTATAAACAAGACAATAAGAAGCTGGAGAGGGGAGACGTTGGAGATTGAGCTGTATGTAAACCCGTGCATAACAATGTTGGGTGTTTGGGTGCTCTGGCTGGTGAACACGAGGAGGAGCTGGGAGGGTGGCGCACCTAGAGAGGAGACCGACGCTCTGCCTCCCCCCTACCTCCCCCCACCTCCCCGGCTCCTCTGCTCGGCTGT